AGATATTTCATAATAAAAATATTACAAAATAAAAATATTTCCCAAACAATTTTTAGTACCGAAGTTAATAACTCAGTACCTGGAGGACCCAGCTTTGCTCGGGTTTTTTTAGTAAATCATGTATTTTAGAAATAAAAAAATGAAAAAATAAAGAAAATTATCTGGTATAGAAAAAAAAAGTAAAAAAATAAGTGTGTAAATGATCGTGCACGAACCGCGGCCGTCTGTTTTGCGGTCGCCCGATTACCGACCGAGTAACATTTTTTTGTTGTGTATACATATATATATATACCTCATCCTTGATATTCTTATATCTCTCCTCATCTCATGATAGGGTACTTCGATCGTCTTACACGAATAAATTATGCATTCCAGCGCACTTTACCGGGTTCTCTGTCAACTCCTTTCCTATCCAAGCTATACATCTTTGGAACTCCTTGCCCGATAACGTAAGAAACGCAAAAAGTAATACATCTTTCAAAATATTGGTTCGTGAACACCTGTTAAAGACAAATTCGACCTAACATATGGACTGTAGTTAAAAGTAGAAGCTAATTGTTATTTATTTATACAAGTATACATCTTTATATATATTTAAATATTTGAATATGTATATATATATATATATGTTTATATACATATGCATGTATATAACTTAATATATGATTTGTATCCAATTATAATATTATTTTCATATATATTCTCTTTAATTAAAATTTTATTATTCTTGCATCTTTTGCTGCACCTACCATAAACTCTCACCACATCCTGGGTTGACTGGTAGAGAATGCCTTTGGGCATTAAGTCCGCCCTTTGTTACCTTGTTTTACTGAAGGTTGGCAATAAAGATTAAATAAATAAAAAAAAATAAATAAATAAAATCTACATCCTCTAAAAGAGAGCTTATTCGATCACCTTGTAACCTGGACCTCAAATAATCGATAAGAAATTTGTTTAAAGAGATAACAATGTTGACTTTTGCTACTCATTACATATTTGCATATTTTCTATCTAATTTATAAGAATGAATTTTCAAGACGTAGTTATGTTTATTATATCAATACTTGGAAGAAAAGTTATTTCTACCAACAACTAGACTGCATGGAATAAGTAAATCTTTTATGGAACAATGTATACGTTTTTGCAACAACATCCTGGAAATCGGTCAAAATGTGTCAGTTGCTAAATTGAAAATAAATTGTGAAGGAACGTTTGTGTGTTAAAATTTATTATAATTTTAGTGATTATTTAAAATAAGAACACGCTCTGGAAATTAATTTCTCGCTCCACGCTTTTTTAATTGGACTTAACATATAGTAAACATATTTTATTGTCCAATAACAGATAAAAAAAATTGTCCTGCGAACCAGTAGAAGTATTTTGAGTAAGTGTAATACATAAATATATTAAACAAAGATATTTGCATTTGATTACTGAATTTTACGAGTAAATTTTGAAATAATGTTACTTAAAAATAACGTTAAAAAAAGTTCAGTTGCTTCGATTTAAATTTGTATGCTTATTAAAACATCGAACAGAAAACTCTAAAATCTAATTATCTCTTTATCCGTTATATTATTTACAGTGTGTTCGCTCTAGCTCAGTGCGGGAGCAATCGTTTTTAATTAAATATACTCGAGTAACCTGGGTTCAAATCCTGGTGCTAGCTCAAATGAAATTGTTAGTTGCAATTTGATGTCCTGACTTAGCAAATGCCCAGTGGCGAAGGAAAACATCATGAGGAAACTTGCACCGTACAAAGAAACTGATTAAACTACTTAAATATACTTTTCTTTTGTAAATAAATACATATTATAGATATACTAGCGGACCCGACAGACGTTGTCCTGTACACACGACTTAAATCCGACAAATAAATATATAAATAATAGAAAAAAATAAAAAATACTGAAGTGGAACGAATTGTGAATCTAAACCATTCTCGGATCGTTCTGACACACAAAAATTTCATTAAAAACGGTCCAGACGTTTAGGAGTTCAGTGACATACACACGTACAGAAAAATTATATATATATATAAAGATCACACACACACACACACAAACTAACACACAGTTTCTGGCTACGGAAAAACACTATGTTCATCACACAATATTTGTCAGTAGTAATGGGGATCAAACGCACACACTGATGTAAGAGACAGCACACTATGAAGATTTAGTGTTGACAATGAATCCACCTTTCAAATGATAAAGTACAAATTGGACTGTCTTATATGTTTGGAAAAATCCCAACGTACGTCATTTTCAAGAAAGCTGAGTCGAAACATAATAAATCACATAAACCCTAATTCTCCAATTGCGTTTGTGTACTCTTAAATAGAAAAACGTGAGTAACATTAAAACAGTTGTTATTATACGCTGTCGCAAGAACATGTTTACAACACACGTTGAATTTTCAGGGTACCGTACCCAAAGGGTAAAACAGGACCCTATTACTAAGACACCGCTGTCTGCCTGTCCGTTTGTCACCAGCCTGTATCTCATGTACCGTGACAATTAGACAGTTGAAATTTCACAGTTATGCCACTATTACAATAAATACTAAAACCAGAATGAAAAATTATCCTCTCCCATAAAACAGACATGATTTTTAACCGACTTCAAAAAAGGAGGAGGTTTCTCAATTCGACTGTTGTTTTTATAATTTTTTTATGTGTGTCTGCGGATAACTTCGTCGTCTATGAGCCGATTTTGATGATTCTTTTTTTATCGGAAAGAAGATGTCCCAAGGGTGGTATCATGATAAAGAAACCCGGATCTAATGATGGCATCCCAGAGAAATCGAGGGCCATTAATGAATCCTATAGGTATTAACAATGTTTTTAATTTTCTGATTGAAGTCGTTCTTTTTTTGTTAAAAATATTACTTATACTTGTTTTGTCTATTTTAAAGATAATGGTACGGAACCCTTCGGGCGCAACTCGCACGTGGTGGGTTTTTTTCTAATTCCACCCGACCAAATAGCCACTGCAGTGCGTGTCCACACGCACTTTCATATTTCTTCGCGTCAAACGCACCAACGGAAAAAAAGGACGTGTATCAACGATACAGTAAATCATCGGTAAATTGATTTAAGCCGAGTTAGAAACGTAGAACGCGCGAAGGAAAGAACTTTTATCATTTCTTGATATCGCGCGTAAATATTCCGTTTTACGCGGCTGTGAAAATCGCCAGTGACATGATTGTGTCGTCGATTGTTTATTTTTTAATCTGCGCATGCGTCACGGTACTTAAGAGCTGACACGCACGCGTAGGTATACGATGACTCCGTGGCGCAGTTGCCAAAGTGTTGGCTTCGGCGTCGTGGGTTCGATTCCCACACGGGACAACTGTTTGCGTGACCCACAGATGGTTGTTTCGCATCTGGGTGTTTGTCCACGTGAAATTTACGTTTGTAAAACGTATAACAACACAGGATAATGTTATCCTGAAGTAAGGTTAATGTTTCTTTTTATTTAAATACTTATTTCACTTTAAAATATACGCTCAGTGTGAATACAGTAAGTATTTCTTAATGTGAAAAGTTGACAAGCGAGCAAACTGTTCACATGGTGTGACGCGATTACCGCCGCTATCAACAACTCGTGACGGCTTACAGATGCGTTGTCAAGCATCAAATTTGGGTCCCGATCACCTCACGAGACGCGAAGGCATAATACTAAATAAATAAATAAATATTTAGGACACATTTGTACACAACATTTTCTAGTCCCAAACTAAGCAACGCTTGTACTACGGGTACTAGAAAACTGATAAACATACTTAAGCATACTTTTATATAATACTACCACTTCACACCGGTCTTCTGTGAGGCCGTGGTACCTCCCTGGACGAACCTGCCCACTCCTGCAACAGTAGAAGGTTCCTAACACAGTAAAAAACTTAACCATCTTCATACCACCAAAAGATGTTTGAAACAATTTCGCATTACTTTTCAAGCGCTGTACAAAGCGTCATAGACGGCAAAAAAATAGCAGGACTGCGTCTCTCGTGTGTGTGAACAACAAGAATTCCCAAAAACTTTAGTTTTTATAATTCAAATTTAATCAACGACACTCTATTGTTTCGTTTCTATCACCACCTAATCCTCAAGATTACCACTCTTACAAAATTCCGTTTAAAATAGTTATCACATACATTCTATAAATGTGTCCCAAGCAACGTCAAAATATCCTTCTTTTCCGTGAAAAATTATATCAATTGTTGTTATAAAAACATTTAAAAAACCTCAGAGAAAAGAAACCTTGATTTAATGCTATACATATTTTGTATATTGTATTCGTAATTTACTCAAAAACACATTTCGAAACTTCTCGCCGACAAAAATAAGTTGAAAAATTGTTTTGAATTTATTTTAGAACTTATACAATGTCATTTATAACGTAACAAATTAAATCATCTTGATAAGTCTAAACATATCCGCTTATTAAAAACGATTTCGGATGGTGGACATATATGGCCGAGTGGTCCAAAATTCGACCAAGTTTGAACAATATCAATCTATTCTCAAACACAATAAACAAAAGAATATATCTATATGCGTATGCGTGTCAAACACATGGTAGTGTGCGGAATGTTTTCTATATTGATTTAATGTATTTTTGTGCATAATTAAAGAATATTGGCATTATGCACTCCTCTATATAAATTATAAGCGTGGGATGTTTCATACTCCTCTGCCCACCCAATTTTCGTAAAAAGTGCTTGCTTCACACATTAATATTCGAAAATCATTCTGATGGGATGATTAAGAAACAAGTAATTAATTCCGTTCTAAAAATGTTCTAACAAATCAAAACCGACATTAAGTGAACGACGCGGGTTGGTCGGTGCTAAACGAGAAAAGAAAAACCAAAAATAATGTGTTCGTAAATCAAACAATTCCGTTCGAAAACTGCTCAAGTGTAGTGGTGAAATAAATAGTTTCAAACTAGAGCAACGCCGGAACAGACTAGAGACCGAGTCGCTCTCGTTCATTCGGAACGACTAATTAATTCCGTCCGATAATCGTTCAGAGCGGAACGAACGACGCGAGCTGAACGTTGAATGGTTGCCAGGAGGCGAATGAGCGCCGGTGCCTCCGAAATTCCCGCCAAGAGCGGCAGGGCGGGGCTCGGTGTGGGCGTGTGCCGCGGGCGTGGCACCCGGTCACTGACCCCGGCCGTATGATATGTATGACCACCACACACTACCGGTTGGGTCGCCATAGCACCCCGATTTGCAATTCAACGATATAGTTAGCTGTAAATTACTTTAGCCCGACAATAACAGTTCCAAAGCATTCCGTCGGCATACCTTATCGTAGCTTCGCGCTGAAATTTTCCTAACCACACTTGGAAGATATCTTTCCGTTCGCCGTTCAGCTGTTTCCACTACTATAGATTTGATATCTTCATTGTTTTGTTAATTCATACACAGACATATCAAACATAAAAATTCATAAACGTAAAGACATTGCTTATTTCAAAATGAAGTATCTTCCAGCAGGCAGGTTGGAACACCACGTAAACCATGTTGTAAGTGGTTATTACCATGGTAATCACCATAGCAACCAAGCATGATGATATTGGTTGCTTAGCAACCCGATCTAATCGTAAAAATTACACTATACGGTACATATACCAAAATATTTTTTTTTACAATTTTTGTCTCTGTCTGTCTGTCTGTTTGTTCTGGCTAATCTCTGAAACGGCTGGACCGATTTGGACGGGACTTTCACTGGCAGATAGCTGATGTAATAAGGAGTAACTTAGGCTACTTTTATTATAGATTTTTTTTTAATATTAAATTCCACGCGGACGAAGTCGCGGGCACAGCTAGTGGTTGTATAAAATTAAGTCTATTGGTCGCTTTTAGAGTTGTTTATTGTCGAGTAAACAGCATTATATTAATTTATGTGGTAATTTGAATGTTATTGATATAATTAAAAATGAACTTTTCAAATGCACGAATTTAATGGAAGTTAAACGGTAGTTAATTGCGCTCCAATGTAGGGCCGATCATGTTGGTAGATGTTTTTTCATACAGGACGTGCCGAAATATTGAATAAATAAAAATAAAACACCACCAAAATATTTATAGTTAAGAATGAATTAAATAAATAGGTGGTTGTTCGTATGGCAAATGGCAAAGTCAGAAAATTGGATGAGAATTTTGTAGTTTTGATATGTGTATTTATTTATTTATTTATTTAAAAACTTTATGCACAGTAACGTACAATGGCGGACTTAACACCATTAGGTGTTCTCTACCAGTCAACCGACAAATAAGCAGAGAGAATAAGGAGGTGCGAAAGAGCCAGATGAGATAGAAAGAACATGATAATATATAAAATATTACATACATATTACATAGATATTATATATATATATATATATATATATATATATATATATATATATATATATATAATACAAATATACATTTAAAAGTGTCTTTAGTCAGACAATTTCTGATTGAAATGGGTAGCGAGTTCCAGAGCCGTACAGCTTGACCTTGAAAGGACTTGGACATAAGGCGGGAACGATAAAGGGAAATATGGAGGGAGAGATTGTGATCAGAGCGAAGGTTGCGAGAGTGAGCATCAGATTGTGTAACACATTAGAACGACATTGAAACATTGAAAGAAAAGTAAATTAACAATCTCTTTATGTCATTACTCCTCCTGGTGGACAAAGGCCTCTTCTGAGCATAGAGTACTAGCAAGGAAAATACGTTTGCAAAAACTTTATTTCATATTGGAAGACAAAGTGCGCGCATAACTGCAATTGAATTTATACATATGGGTATGACAATTAAATGAAATTCGTCGTCTGACACTTTGTTTGGATTTTACATATATACTACACTTACAGTTTATTAACTAACTGTTAATTATATAAACAAGTTAGATAAAGACTTCTTCACAACAATCATGGTCAAATCCAGCATTACTAAGGGGGTAGGAACGTCAAATCTGTATAATACAATCGATTCTATGGATCTTAAGACCCAATTTCGAATCGCAGAGGCAGTTAGTGGCGAGTTTTCGTAGTAACTATAGTTTTCACTTGGTGTACGATCACCTGTCATATTTTGTAATTTCTGAGGTTCAAAAGTTTTAAGACAGAAAGAGCCGTGACAGCGTAGTGTCCGGACGCTTGCCTTTAATTCAATGTACTCGAGCAACCTGAAATCGATCCCTGGTGCCGGCACCATTGACAGTATTAATTTTAAGTGTTAACTTATCACGTGCTCAACGGTGAAGGAAACATGGTGAGGAAACCTGCATATTTTCGAAACCTTCGCTGCAGCTGGAATAAAACTCTTAGTTAAGCTCGCCTTTATAAAAGTTTTTTGTCATTTGTTCCAGTTGTCTGTATATATAATTGTGTGTACAATAAAGTAAAAAAAAGGATGTCGCAAATATGTGAAGTCGTCTAATCCGCAGTGGGGTCGCGTGGAGGACTACGCCCTGATACCCTCTGTACAGAGGAGGCCTTTGCCCAGCAGTGGGACATATAAAGGCTGTTACTTTAAGGCAGAAAGACAAATATTCATGTATACTTCTTATGTAACACAATCGATTTACTTATGATGTTTGAAATGTTTAATTATTTTACAACATAATCAATACTATAGCACCTTTTAAGTGACACTACCAACAAAGATGAACAAACAATGGTGTCTTCAGATACAACCTTAGTCCATCTATAAAATAGACCGGAAGTGTATTCTGTTGACTAGAATAAACACCACTCCGATATTCTTACAACGAATTGAAATCTTTAAATGCATTTATAATGGCCGGTTGCATGGTAATTTATGAATGATCGCTACGATGAATCTTAATCTGTGTACTGCAGCACTTAAGTCAAGTGTCAGTTGCAATTCATGGTCACTTAACTTACCAGACCAATTGCAAATGTATGGATATTTATACTTTAAGTCAGCCTTTGGTGAGGTCCAAGTATTTCCCATGTGCAGTAGATTTTTCGCATCAATATTACATATTTTTTTATGCGAGAAAGTGGCAAACGAGCTGATGTTAAATGATAACCGCCGTCCACGGACATTTGGAACACCTTTAAAAATGTTATCCCGGCTACCTCAGTCACCAGACGAAACGCAGAAGTGTAACACTTATACTTTACGCCGGTCTTTTGCGAGGTCGTGGTACTAGCCCGGACGGACCTGCCCATTAGTGCAACAACAAATTCTGTTGCTTGGTCCTAGCACCTTAAAACATATAATTTATCTTCAATGAATCCAATCTTCAATCAAGGCTCCATTTGAAAATCAGCGCTGTAGTACAAATAGAACTGCAGCATTTTGCTGAAATGGAGTTCCTATTTGATGTCACAATTTTTCTGTTTATGTTTTGAATATGTATTTTTTTGTTAAGTGATGTCAAATAAAGAGATTTTCTTTCTTCTTTCTTTCTTTCAATCTTCAACATTTATATACACGGGGTTCTCAAATCATTTGTTTTGAGTAAAAAGACTAATTAAAAAACTGTGAGACTGGCTGAAATAGTTTCTGGAATATTTCACTCCAACGAAATTTTTATTTCAATGGTTTCTTTGAAAAAATTACAGTTGGCTAATCGAAACCTCTCGACTATATGACCGGTTAATATGTTCATAAATACCTTAAAGTAGTAAAAAAGAGTGGGGTTATATACCCCACTCTAGACTACTAGGTCTCTGCTATTTAACTGAACAGAAAGATCACTACATAGTATAAAACAAAGTCGTCCAGCTGTCTGTCTGTCCCTATATTGTATGCTTAAATCTTTAAAACAACGCAACGGATCTTGATGCGGTTTCTTAACTAGATAGAAGTGATTCAAGAGAAAGGTTTATATGTATAATTCGTTGTACCCGTGAGAAGCCGGGGCGGGTCGTTAGTCAAATATAAACTCTTCTAACTCTCCTCGACGACGCGATTTGCCTAGTTGGCCTGAGGGATTGGGTTCGATCCCCACGAATGGAAAAATATTATATGATGCACAGTTTTTTCCAGTATCTGTGTGTTTTTTTATTTATAATACATTTATATACCACCTACAAAAGAAAATTGTGTTGAAAAAGGTAAAATAAAAAGAAAAGGAAATACATGTCAAAGTTTTACCCGATCGCTGTATTATATTTATGTATTTATTAATTGGGCTTTATATTGTTTCAGATGCCGCTGAGAAAACTGCAATGTAAACGGATTCCCTCGAACAATCTATTATCCAAATATGCAGAAACAAATATATTTATTTTTAAATGTACCTAGTGCAATAACGTATTTAATTTATATATGTACGATTAAAAATCATATTGTTTTCGAGTTAAAACGGGTTCAATTTAATTGATGTATCCGATGCTTCGTTTAATTTATTGAAAATTTATTGTTGTTAATTTTATCTTGTGCGTATTATTGGAGTAATAATAATGGCAATCGTAGCAAATGATTTGTGAATAATTTCGATTGAAACCGTGTGGCCACAAACAATAATAGAGGCAACGACAATTAAATAAACTATTCATCGTTTGATTTACAATCGAGTTTGTGAATTGACAGTGATAAAGTACAGTCGCGATGACAAGTCGAAGGTGCCTGCGACTGGTATGAAAACATTTGTCCACAACGTTCGTGTTTAAAATGTGTTATATATGAGTGACTGTTGCGAACAAAGTATGTATACCACGTGGTACAGTCGCGGTGAGAGCGGCATGCACCATCACCAGATGGGGCAGCTGTACCACCACGGGCCCCCCATGATAAAGACTGAGGCTGGAGTAAACAGTGACTGCATGATGGCGGTGGACTACGCCCCCCCAATTAAGGTACGACTCAAACAACTTTGTATATATCTAAGTTTATATTTTAGCTTTTTCAAATTGCCCGTGTGTAGAATTAATACATGAAGTTACTTCTGGTTAACTGATAAAGTCTCGACGAACCAATTTAGAGTATAAGGAGGACACTGAAGTACAGAAGAAACAAAGTAATTCTACATATGTCATTGTAAAACTTAATCCCCTACCTATTGGGATTTAGTTTTTATAACTCTAGATTTTAGTGTTTACAACTTTATTTTATACACAACAAAGTGTATATATAGGTACAACATTTAGTTGGATGTAAAATACCAATATACCGTTATACCAATGTTATAATTGGTTTTATAGTTATATTAAATGTCATATGACGTTCCTTTTCAATTCAATAAGCTGGCCATGTATGATTTATTCTTAATAATGCACAAAACACTTAAAGAATTTGAATCAATTCTTATGAAAATAGTAAAAGTTACATTTTAAATTTATCTGCTATTATAAATAGGTTTAATAAAATAAACAAGAAACAGCATAAAGTAGCTAACCAGACAGGTAGACATAGAAGTTAATGAAGAAGTGAAAAGATAACCTTCTATCTGAATGAAAGGTCCACAAACGTGTCCATCGGCCGATCACCGTTTAGCGCCCATTCAGCCGGTCATGAATGGAGTGGTGTCATTCACCGGTCGCCGGTCCAAAGTCAATAGACAAGCGGCTGATTGTTCACGTAGCCGGTACGTGAGCGTTTTTCTCCGACCGCACCAGACGCGCGCCGGAGGATCGGGAAGAGTGGCGGCGCGAGTTGTGCGCCTAGCGAGCGCCGTGCCTAATCGCGGGCGTTCGTGCGCGAAGAAAGAACTGCTGCGGGCAGGTTGTTTGGTTTTTTGTATGAGCTCGAGCGGCCCCGAGGCTGGGCACGGGCCGCACCGAGTTTCTAATCTGAGAATCGAGATGTCGGATTCTGCGGCCGTTGCGCTGCGTCCGCGTCGTATCGGTTCTGCGTTTTGTAAATCGAATGTTAAACGATCCGCGATACAGCCGTACTAAATTTTTGACTGGTGACGAATTAATTGGTATATTACCTTATGGATTTGGTTTGATTTTATCATTAGATGTGGACATTTTAGCGCTAGATTTAATTTGGTTTTATCATAAGATGGGGACAGTTTGGCGCTAGCCAGTTGATACTATAAAAATGAAAAATCACAACAGGACACGGAATAGTTTTTGATGTAACGTATTGATATTTAATATATTACGCTACTTGAAAATTGCATTTATTTTCATGTATAATAAATTTGTACAAACTCTAACTTACTTTGAAACTTAATTAATATCGCAATCAATTCAAGGTAGCTTACGCGTTAAACATATTGTAGAATGTTTTAGTTGCACCTGTCCTGTACGTTTCTGAGCCCAATACGAAACATTGTTTCCAACCAAATTCTTACTTCGTTTTAATAATGAAAAACGTACAAAAAAATGATCACGCATTTCGTATTATCGTTTCACATTTTCCGCTCTGTGAGCAGAACTTACGAAATCAGCCTCGAGTTACCCTGTCGACTATAAACATGATTACCTTATCTGACGATTCAATGGCCTCAGCGCTCAGTAGCTGTTACTATTTATTACCGAACGACCCAGGTTCGACCGAGTGTGGAACAACGCATATTATTAAGATATTGTGTAAATTTAGATGCAACCCATCATTGCATTCTTTGATCCAAATATTATTATTATTATTATTTTTATATATTAGACGAGTTTTAAATTGAAAGTATTTTTAGTAATAAATTCTCTAATTAGTTTAATTTAAAGATTATTTTTCATTATTTTTCTATTAGTTATTTTTAAACTCGCAGTCGTCTCTGAGTGTAAGAGTCGTGGTTCATAATGCTGCGTTCAACATTATGTCGACTGTTAACCGACGAATGACATTTTTGGCATAACCTTAACAATAGGAAAACGATTAGCTGTTCATACTTATAAATAATGGCAGTAAAAAGTTGTAGATGCATATTGTTTACTTTACCTGTGTCTATTCATGCATCTAAAGTTACCTGGTTCGTTTAGCCATTGACTTATATAAAACAAATTTAAATTTGTTTCTTATAAGTCACTGTTTTGCACTTTAAATTGCATTCTTATTTTTTTAGGTCTTCAGGATTTGGTTGTTAGCTTAGTATTAGGATAGGGTGTTTATTTTTATGGTCCATATATCTTTTGCACCACTACCTCTAGATTATTTCATCGATGAAGATTTAAAAATTAAACGACGAAGTTGTACCACTTGTCACCAAATCGCAAAGATTTTGCGGCACAACAAGGCTATCTTTTCAATCGTGTGGAATCGTTCCAGTTGCAGATAAAGGCCGCACGAACACTGACTGCCAAGCAGTCAACAGTCAGGGTCAGCAGTCCGGAACGTGACTCAACGTTACTGCAAACTATTTTTCAATATAAACACAAAATTGATTAATGTTCGATCCATTTTCAAACGTTGGTGTTAATTGATCGCGTATTTAGCCGGCCAGTTATGAAAAAAAAAATATTTTTTGACCATACTAAAAAGGTTTTAACTTTTTTAGCTTATGTTTTAATGTGCCCTTTATGCTGGTCATTTTTATTGATTCATTTAAAACATTCTGCTATTTAAATATTACAGTTACATTATAATTATCATGGATTCATCTTAGTCAAAAGAATGTACGGCTTGAAGACAGAAGTCACGGTGTATATATATCATATAAAGCTTTTAAATACGAGTGACCTTCAAAAGAAAGAGATAATCGGACAAGTAAGAGAGAGCAGAATGAGATTTAATCCACGTTTCGATCTAAATCTAACCGCATAACCGCGTAGGTGATAAAAATCTATAAATTCAAAAGATTATTCATCAAATTGTCACTCATGTATAGTAAGGAATAGTCTCAAGTTGTCATTCGGCGCCGATAAAATCTGTACAGAGAAGGCCTTTGCATAGTAACGAACTAAGTTCGAGGTTCAATTCTTTGCGAATTCTGCAGACGTAACGTTGTAGATCTAAGGTGGGAGTCCCACCTCTGATCTACAAGACGTGAGACTAACTTGAGACTTTTCTGTATGACCACGGCGTGCGTGCAAGTGTCACATCACGCGCGATCAGGCGCTATCAACGTCACCAATCATATCAATGAAGGGGGCTGGCGATCATTTATAACATCACCCACGGCCATCGGCGCCGCGACGGGCTTCAAACTCTGTCAGCTGTGACGGAAGCCGCCGGAATCCGGTCCGCCACTTGTTCCGGGTGTCATCGTGACGCGTGTTTTGTCACGGTTGCGTCATCGAAGCGATCACGCGCCCCCGCCTTTTTGCATGCCGCCGCGCGTCACGCGTCATCAAATGACGCTGTCATAGCAATAAGATCGGATCGCCGAGCGGGAAGTGCCGGTTGTAGCGTTTGCACGACTCTCGACGCGTGTCGCATCGCCCGGACAAATCGGTGCCTCGATCTCCATTATTAATCTCCAATACGCTCCAATATTTGCGTGCATCTACACATATAATCTTCAATCGGACTACACCCCGAGAATCCACAGCAAATCGAAAGCACATAGTTCCATGTGCTTTCAAATCCAGAAAAAATAAATTTTACACCCATAAGTAGCAAGATAATCCTGGTCCTGCTATTGGTCTGGCACTACACTAATTGCTCATTCCGTTAGGTATAAAGGGACACAGGCTCTAAGCATGTTATTATCATCATACCTCATCCGCGTCCGTATGTACATAAATATAAAAAATATTAAAATAAATATTTTTAGGACACATTTTTACACAACATTCTCTAGTCCCAAACTAAGCAAAGCTTGTACTGTGGGTACTAGAAAACTGATAAACATACTTTTCCTTTGTAAATAAATATTTACAAAAGAATAATTATACATATATAAACACCCAGACACTAGAAAAACACTATGTTCACCACACAATATTTTTCCAGCAGTGGGGATCGAACCCACACCCTCTGGCGCAGGAGGCAGGTACACTACCCACTACGCCATTCGCAGGGTCAGAGTGTAGAGAGACGTGTACCTTTGCCTGCGTTATTTAAATCGAATTCAAATTTGGTTATATTGATTTTAGTTCGAAATTGTTTTCCTGAGTGTGTTAACTATACCTTTTCCATGAAGACTGTAAAAATAACACGGTCAAATTCTTTTTACCACGTTATTTGTACAATCGTGACTTGCTGGCTGTATGCCATACATCTTAGCGTACTTTCTGAAAGTCTAATTGTGTATGGCAGACAAGGTTAACGATATTAACTCTTTAACCAATTGTTCTAAGATGCAGGGAAGCGGAAGGAATGATAAAGGAAGCATGAATACATGAATTGTAGAAATTTGTAATCTGTAATATCTGTCTCCCCGCTGCAAAGATTGGCTTGTGTTTTTTTTTTTAATTTAATTGAATTATTTCTTTGTTAATCCGTCAATTTTAAGGCATCGGATAGAATTAATTATTCTATTCTTCTTTATTATTTCGAATTAAATATGATCATAAAGAAACCTCCTGATGTTTCACTTGGCCGTAACGAGATCGTCAATTCCTAAACACCTAATTAATTTCCAAATTATGGACGATAACAAAAGCAATTCCGTCTGACGATTTATCTGGGTGGATCATGGTCCGGGGAAAATGATCGGTGCAGTGCCGGGGTAACGACATCCCGGGGCTGTGGCGTCATTAATCAAACGCTGTACACACGAGGGTGGACGCTGCTTCAAAGGAAAACCCGGTAAATGACGATACCCCGCTAAAGACGAAATCAGCTGGTACATTAGGATTAAGTTCTCGTTGAATCGAGTAATATTTAAAATGTACACGACAATATTTTTAAACAAGGAAATGAGTTAATACACCAATGTACCATCAATTAAAGTTAAGTGAAGGTAACTCTGAGCCGCAGAACCATTATTGAACATATAATGGTTCAAGTTACATCGCCTCGAGACTTACATACTTAGTTTTCTTGGCTACCGCGTTATTCCTGTGAGCAGCTGGGAGACATCAAGACAAACGTCTTGAATGATTCGTTGGATTATTTTGGTTTCTCCCGCCGCGTCGTTCCGGTGAAATCGTGCGGAGTTGCGAAATTGTGACGTCCTAACTAATTGTTCCAAACGTGGCTCCAAAAAATATTCTTGGTGACCTCAAAAATAAACTGTATTTTTATGTAAGATACGAAAAATTTTGAATGAAAATAAACTGACCTCAAGTTAAGAACGGTATAAAACAATTAAGAACTTTGATTGAATGAAAGATAGACATGATTTTTTCTAAAAAACGTATCCCTTATATAAGCAATGTTATCTTTATACTGTCTACAGATACAGAAAATGAGTTGTCAAGAATACGAGAGACTATAATATTGTGTATAAATTGCATTGTGTCGATTATATTGTTTGTTTCAGAAAACTGAAAACGAAATTGACGGCAACGAAGATAAACAATTGTAGATGATCGATAAGATTAGGATATGATCTTAATGGTGCAAATAAATGTCTCCAATAGGAGAATCCTGAAATAAGACTTGAGATCAGAGACTTGTATTAAACATGCGACCATGAAACTTTTTATGTGAAAAGGTGGCTAGCGAGCGGGCAGTTCAGCTTATCTTAAATGATAACCGCCGCCCTTGGACATTTGCAACACTTGTCACTTTTAATACAGTGGGCCTGGCTACCAAAATCAGCAAACGAAACGCAGAACTCTCATAATCATCTCGTGGTACTTACCATACGTTTGAAACTCTGGCAAGTTATCAATATATGCGCTATCCAATGGAACAACAACATAAAAAACACATATTTAAAAAAAATTGTAGTGTCTACAGTATAACATTGCACTTTGAAAATGCCAACACAATTAGAATTTCACGGTCATTATCCTCACACACTATTCAAGTTATCTCGATTGTATCAAATAAAACACAAGTGGATCTGTTGATTGCGTAATGACGTATTTTTATAGAAGTGTAAATTATGGCGTTTAGCCGCCAAGAGTTTGTAGTTGTGGCGTTGTTGGTCGTTGTTGAATATTTCTATTAAAGTTTTATCTGAGTAAGCAATATCTACATAATATTTGTATAAGTATAAGGAATAATAGAAATTAATCTTTTAGGTATTAAACTCCACTTTCGGCTTATTTTTACCAAGCTCTTTTAGCGGTTATACTAAGTGTTATAAGCATCTTGGAAACCATTTGTGTGTGAATAATTTCTTTATAAAAATCCCATTAATGTTCTAACATTTTCTGTGACCGTTTCCAGGAACAGGCGCTTTCAATTTCAAATTTAGAGCAAAATCGTTTAGTTAATTGGGTCTCTGTGGTTTTTGGTGGATGCATGGAGGATGGACCACGGATTTTGGTGTTTTATGAACGGCCTTCTCCTTTAGGGAAGCATAGACTTTCAGAATGCTTTAACCATCGAACTGTTACTAACAATGAGATGAATCTTTCCTGTCTCGTTCTCTTTAAAATAAAATTTAGTATAAAATCTACCCACTCACTTTGTGTTGCTGCATGTGCCATAACCAATTTAATATATCCAAAAAGTTAAATTTTAAAAATACTAAATCATAAACAACTCGCAAATAAACAGTATCTCTGTAATAACGCATGGCGCATTGTCGCCAATCGGCTTACTTATTAACGTCAACCGCAGCAAGACTCCGAGACCCAGCGGTGAACAGTAGCGTCTCTCATGCCGGTCGACACCAAGCGAACGGCGAACGAACATTGACGGGGATACCAAACGAATCTGCGTAGTTGACACAGTAGAAGCGGGCGTCCAGTTCGGCGAACAAACACTGACGGGGATACCAAACGAATCTGCGTAGTTGACACAGTAGAAGCGGGCGTCCAGTTCGGCGAACAAACACTGACGGGGATACCAAACGAATCTGCGTAGTTGACACAGTAGAAGCGGGGCGTCCAGTTCGGTGAACAAACACTGACGGGGATACCAAACGAATCTGCGTAGTTGACACAGTAGAAGCGGGCGTCCAGTTCGGCGAACAAACACTGACGGGGATACCAAACGAATCTGCGTAGTTGACACAGTAGAAGCGGGCGTCCAGTTCGGCGAACAAACACTGACGGGGATACCAAACGATAGATGACACAGTTCGGCGAACCACGTTCGGCCGCGTTCGCCGCCGTTCGCTCGGCCTGTGTGCGCCCGGCATCAGGAGCAGCGCGGACGATTAATTTAAAAGACAAACCCTGTTCTTTCAGCCGCACTCCTCCATCATTAATATGTGAAACTTCTTACGGGGTGCGCCGTGTCGCTGTCATCCTTCAAGTGATAAATTCGCATCGTCCCTCCGTTGCTCCGATTATTCCCTTAAAGAACTCCCGTGGCTTATATTCTTGGCTCGGTGGGATCCGAAATTTGTTCATTTGCCCCAGAAAATTGTTATCGTTCCGAAAAACGAACGATGCACTTTGCTTTCAGAAGAACAATAATTTTAATCAATTACATTGTGTTACATTAAAATATTCATACAAATATTAGTCAAATTCATTCCGAAGGCCTATTAGCTTGAATACTGAATCCACTAGCCTTCGTCTACGCATACAATTGAATCGTTTCTTTGTTAACACAATTTTTTTAAATGGATGAAAGAAAACGAGTCACCTCACCACGTGAGGCGTTCGCTGTTGTACCATTATAAATATTAAGTGACCATAGCCGTTGTTTTCAGAAGTGTTGGGGATGTAACTGTCTTTTCAGAGAAGAAAGCAAAGAAAAATTGAAGAACGACGAGAAATAAACAGAAGAAACAGCAACTAAAAGGTTTTTCTGCCTAGATTTACAACACAGCGCGCCCTCGTTCATACTTGCCCCACATAAATGTCTGTAGGTACTCTAATTCCCATTAACATATACAATTAAACATAAGCACGGTCGCCTCGTAAAAATGTCACCAAGCCGTGTCATACGTTGAAGAATTACCACCTAAATAATTAACCGGCGAATAAATCCTAATTCATATATCGACAAAAACTGCGAGCGTACTGAGAAGTTGTTTTTTTGTCATACAGCGGGCATACATTTTCTGAATGGCTACTCAATTATGGTAAATTATTGTGTCTATATGTATTTGTTGCTTGCAATTAATTTCATTAACCTTTTGTAGAAACATTTGAATGTAATTCCCTTGAAGAATTCAGGGTAGAACTGAAATGATGGAATGGTTATAAGAATTTCTATCACCTTATTTGAGACCTGTGCAGAAATATTATGAGGTACTTAAATCTATACAAAGTAGCTTAACGGTTGGTTCTGCGCATTTTTAACTTTGATTTATACTATAGCAGTTTCGTAGTGAAATATGTTTTACATTTACAAAAAAAAATTAGTGCAAACATGGTACGAACAGGATTATATTGATAAAGGCGGACTGCGTAAAAGAAAAACCGTTTCGTACTAAATTATCGTGCCAGTTCTATCTTAGACCTATTTTACAATAGTCACTTGCAACTGTAATCATTTACTTTTTTATGTCTCACAATCAGTTTTTGTCGAGTCTTCGACGTTTACTCTTTTCTAGGCGTACTGACTATCTGTACAAACATTTTAGATTATCTTCTAATGAAAGATGAAAGAAAAATTATAAACACTTGTAAAGAAAATTACGAGTTTCAGATTCTCGACTGATTCCAAATTTAATTATTTAATTCATGTTGATACGCCCTTTGCGTCGGAATACTTCGTGGGCTGTTACTATTGAAGCAGTGTAAAAGACTTCGATAACATCGATAAGTTATCGATGTTATCTAACATCGACTGTGGTGGTGGGATGGTGGTCGAATTTTTCTGCAGAAAACAAACGCAGTCGCTTCTGCTATTCATAGATGGTAAATGCTCGTATTGGAAAGTCCCACAGTCTCGCAGAAGATTGTTAATTAACATTTATACTTTTCCGTTTCGTGTGGCGAGTGGAGTAACCAGAGTTTACTCTTGATGTCACAGAAATTCCTAATTGATCAGTGGCTTTAAGAAAACGCCCTCCACCTGATAGCCGCCAACAATTTTTCCAAAATCTATCATAAAAAGAACGCTATTATATAGCCTAAATTATTGGCTCCCTAAATTTGCTCGTAACCATAATGATTAAATCTATTCCCTTATTTATAAGTTTGCTAAAGACGAAATTATTCAATCCACCTAAAATAATAGCAATAAAAAAAATTCTACAAATTACGCAGAAAAAAAAATTAAGTCCTTAAAGGTTTAAGTAACGCGAGCACTGTATAGTAAATGAAAGTCATTAATGGATTTTTGGTGTTCAATTTTATTTAAATCTGTTTCGCGCATCTGCAACGCGTTGAAAATTTTGTAAATACTTAAGACAATAAAAATACTTAAGACTTTAAGTATTTTTAAGTATTTTTAAAAATACTTAAAAATACTTAAGACTGTAAGAGTTTCTTTTTGAAAGAAAATAGTAAGCTATACTATTTACGTAAACGAAAAAGCGTTCTACTTCATATTAATGTTAATTAAGGATATGATTTACGCCCGGTTTCCGAAACACTGAACATCGTAGAAGTCACCTAATCGCTCCCAAATGGCTTTTCAAAGGTTATTTGAGTTGCCCAAAGGATTATTAAACTCTTTGATTTCATCATTCTGAACTGTTAAGGAGATCTTTCTGATCAAGTCAGGGAGTTTATCAATCCTTTTTGCAACTCAAATAACATTTGAAAAGCCATTTGACAGCTGATTAATTGACTTCTATGATGATCAGTCTTTCAGAAACTGGGCGTTAGCTTTTAGTTAACTAAGCAATTGAATTCAATAAAACGCTGGCTTTTAGTTATTCCCTCGTTACCTTCGTCCGATATCACGGGACCGTTTCGAGTGGGCGTTAATTGCGATTTTAAATTTCTTCTTTTTAATTTCGATTTACCAACGCGCATCGTAAAATCACCGGATCGCATGAATCGTTATAATTCCTATATGTAATTACACGCTCCCAACCATGGTATGTTGGCGTGACCGTGGAAAAATTATAACAACGTATTAATTAACATTATATAACAAGCCTCGACAACCTATTGTTAAGTCCTATCCATCACAGATGATCTTGAAGATAGTTATAACACATTCTTAGTTCAGGCAAATGGGCTTTTCGGCCAATTAGCCAATTTAATGCAAACATGTCGATCCGCAACATTTTTATTGACAAGGTGACAATAACAAAGGCGGCAAGTGAGCAGGCGATTCACCCGATGTTAAATGAATGCCGCTGCACGTGTATACAATACCTGTGGTGTTGCAGAAGTTACCAGTGTGTTAAAGACTATGACCTACTTAACCAACCGCTAGACGAAACGCAAACGCATAATGTTGCAACTGAACTCCCATCATATTTTTTAGAGAGAAGGTGGCAAACAAGCTGGTGGTTCACCTGATGTTAAGTGATAACCGCTGCCCATTGACATTTGCAACACCCGTAGGTTTTCACATGCGTAAAAGTAAAAGTAAAGTAACAGCCTATACATGTCCCACTGCTGGGCAAAGGCCTCCTCTATACAGAGGGTATCAGGGCATAGTCCACCACGCGGCCCCACTGCGGATTGGCGGACTTCACATATTTTCGAAATATATTTTTTTGTTATTATTTCTAAAATATGCAGGTTTCCTCACGATGTTTTCCTTCACCGCGGAGCACGTGATAAGTCAGCACTTAAAGTTAAAAACTTCATTGGTGCCGGCACCGGGGATCGAACTCAGGTTGCTCGAGTATATTGAATGAAAGGCGAGCGCCCGGACACTGAGCTATCACATGCGTTGCAACCATTTATTAAAGTGGGCCCCGTCTACCTCACTCACCAGACAAAACGCAGTACAAGACTTCCACGTCACCGCACATTCGTGAAACGGAAGCTCCTGCGTGGATCAACCACAGTTAAAATATACTTAACATCGATAAATTTGGTAGGAATCTGGAGCAATTATGGGGCTATTGTTGTGGTGTTTTATAGTAAGTTAAGTAAAGTAACAGCCTATATAATATGTCCCACTGCTGGGCAAAGGCTTTCTCTGTACGGACGGCATTAGAGCATTGTCCATTACGCAACCCAATTGCCGATCGGCAAACTTTCCTTATCGTCGAAATATCTATTTTATAATTTCGAAATATAAAAATGTGCAGTAGTATGCAGGTTTCCTCACGATCTTTTCCTTCACCTCGCTCGTGTTCGCTCGCTCACTTTTATTCAGTATAATGATGTACTCGAGCAACCCGAGTTCAAAATCACAAAAAAAAGCAAAATGAAAGAACTCCCAGTTCTTTACTTTTGCTTCTCGCTTTAATATTCACCAAATAGGCAGAGTCCACTCCTTCAAAGGTTGCTAACGAAACTGCAACTCTTCGTGTTCTCGATGTCCACGGGCGGCGGTAATCAATTAACTTCTAGTGAACTACCTGCTCGCTTCTACAACACAGAGATGTTGTAGTTTGCAGATGTATTTCCAATCTTTAAGAGGGAGTTGCACATCTTCTAAGAGAGTAATACCTCGAAAAGCAAACGTAATATGACACTGCCACTAAAATATTAATTCTTAGTGATATTGTACTTGAAACTAAACTTGTTAAATAACACTAATTTCAAGGCACGTTTTTGCTTTAAATCAACGCGAAATAATTCGTAATATTGGTATTTTTAATTTGTGTTTTATTTCATTTCGGGAAATATATATAGCTGTGATAGCTCAGTGTCCGGGCGCTCGCCTTTAATTCAATATACTCGAGCAAACTGAGTTCGATACCCGGTGCCGGCACCAATGAAGTTTTTAACTTTAAGTGCTGACATATCACGTGCTCCGCGGTGAAGGAAAACATCGTGAGGAAAACTGCATATTTTCGAAATAATAACAAATAAAAATATATACTTCGAAGATATGTGAAGTCCGCCAATCCGCAGAGGGGCCGCGTGGTGGACTATGCCCTGATACCCTCTGTATAGAGAAGGCCTTTGCCCAGCAGTGGGATATATACAGGTTGTTACTTTACTTTTTAAATCAATATGAAATTTAACTTTTTTACGAACCAGTAGACCGTCAATCCGTAGACGTAATACTGTGGAAAATGGGAGGTTTTGCACTAATTGTGAAGGTTATCTGTAATTCCCGCTTATGCTCTGGGTTAGAGTCTTGAGTCAAAATAAACATGAATCCAACGGGCTTAGCATTTGTAAGTCCCCTTGATGCTGCTGATTTTATACTTAGATAATTTGTATACTTATTTTTTTTTTAAAAAGACAACATGACCACAGAGTTTCTTGCCGGCTCTTCTCTAGTCTAGC